AACATAAAGTAGAACGTTTTATAGCTGTATACTAGTGTTGCGTGACCAACGAATCACTATTTTCCTATTTAACTGGGTATTTTATTGGAAAGATATTTGCGCATTACAGCCCTAGGTATATACAAGTAGTCATTTATTCATTATCACGATGAAAATCCAACGTTTTGGTGTATTACTTTGTTGACAACTGCTTTTCACAGTTGATTAAAAAGCTGAAACATACATTTTTAGTTAATGGATGTATAATGTTTGTTGAGCAAAACTACTTCGTGTTCTCATGTATCGATTCTGTTTGTTACTGCATAAAATTTATATCTTGTGTTTCTTTTGATTACCATGAAATATGACGTCCAGTTTTTAATCAATCAGGTTTCCTTTTATTTTAATAATGCATTTGTAAAAGCTTTACACTCATATACATAGCATGTGTACAAACGTTGTAGTTCAACTCAAAGCTCTTTGAGTTTTGTTCTTATTCCAGTCTTCCTAATGTGCTTTAAGTCACGAAAATTAGAAATCAGAAAACACGTGGTTTGGAAGATTCCAGTGATATTAGAAAAACACTTTTGAAAATGCTATAGCTGATACTTGTTATTTAAATATTTACAGTATCAAAATACCAGTAAATTACATACGCGTGGTGTGATTAATCTTATGGTTTCGTTTCCAGTAATATCAAATATTGATTAATAGTTATATCATGAGATTTTGTACACGTGTTTTAATGAATACGTGTAGCAACAGATACCTGTAAATGTTACAGAATCGTTTATAAATATCCTCATAAATAAAATATATATATATTCTTTGAAAGTAGATTGATTTACTATGAAAAATATTTAACTATAGGTGATCAGGATGTTTTTAAAGCAAGATATAAGCAAGGCGGGAGTTAGAAGAACGATATATCAACATTAGTTAACTTCTAATATTTCAAATGGTTTATGAAATCTCAATGGAAATTTGCAAGTATGTGAAGTTGATAAATAAACTGGGATAAACGCTAGTAATTCCCCATTATTCTACCTGAGGCGCTTTGAGTAGTGATTAGTTAAAGGAATAAGTAAGAAATACGTTCATACTTTAAGTTTTATTCGCGTGTAGAGTCCTTTATTAACAAACCAGTTGAAATTAGATATAAGATTGTTGTTTGTTATTCGTAGCCCGGCATGGCCAGGTGGTTAGGGCGTTCGACTCACAATCTGCGGGTCGCAAGTTCGAATCCACGTCACACCAAACATGATCGCACTTTCAGCCGTGGGGGCGTTATAATGTGACGGTCAATCCCACTATTTGTTGATCAAAGAGTAGCCCAAGAGTTTGCGGTGGGTGGTGATAACTAGTTGTTTTCCCTCTAGTCTTACACTGCTAAATTAGGAACGGCTACCGCATGTAGCTTTGCGCGAAATTCATAACAAAGAAACAATCATTTCTCGTATTTCAATAAAGGATCATGGACAAGAATACTGATTTTCAGTCTTAGAAAAACGAACTAATTAGTTTTTAGGTACGATGTTCGTTTTTGTATTGATAAAAACGAACTGATTCTTTTTTCGTTTTTCAGTTATTGAATAAGGGAACATGAACAAGGAACCAATTCATTTTTTAGCTACTGAATAACGAAAACAAACAACAAACCAGATTTCTTTGTTGTTCTTTTTTCAGCTTATGCCCCCCCCCCGTAACACAGCGATAAATCTTACGGCTTATAATGCCAGAAACTGGGTTTCGATATCCGTGGTGGACACAGATAGTCTGTTGTGTAGTTTTGCGCTTAACAAACAAACATATTTTCAACTACTGAATAACGAATTGTTCTTTTTTCATTTTTCAGTTTTCTTTTATAAAGGAAGATTAACAATAAAACAATTTATTTTTCATTTTCCATTTCATTGTAACTTTAGGCTACTGTGATCTCAAGCTAAATCCACTCATGAGCAAGTAATATTCAAGGTTAATTAAAGGAAACGGCTAACAAAATATGATATGTTATAATGTTTTTGATTCAGAAAAATATGGGTTATGTTTAATGTTAGCTTACTTGACGGTTATTAAAACGGTTTATTTTTATAAAGTTCATCTCCGATCGTTTTTTTTTATAAATACAAGTGAAGTGCGGCTAATGTTGGTATCCTACTCTGTTGAAATAAAAAAAGAACTTCTCAGTAGAATCGTGTTATTTTAGCTGACCATGATTATCTAATAAATTAGTGTGCTTGTTTTGCGCTTCCATCAGAATAGGGCTCATTTAGTAGAAGAAACAAATTGGTTCCTCTTTCATTTTTGATTTTTCAGTTTTATTTTATTATTAGGTTAGGTCCTGATATTTCATCCTATCAAACTGCTGCGCAACCACATTCAAACATTCAATCAGTCTGCAAGGGTGCTAATGTTTACACCATTAAAAATGTCAGAAAAATACATCTATCGGTTTTGGACTAGAACAAAAAAGCAGATATATATCATTCCGAAACAATGGTGTAGCTAAGGATATGCAAGGAAATGGCTTGGATAGTGAAAATGTTGATACTGATCATGTACTATCTACATATATATTTCAGAGGGAAATAAGACAGAAATTCTCGTTTAAAATTCCTTTTTAGAAGTAGAAGAGTTCTGCAACAAAAGTTGATAAACGAAGAGCAAATTTTTGGACTAGTCTTTTTCTGCATACAATTGCTGCAGAGATCTAAATGTGATTTTTGTCTCCCAAGTAAGACACATTTTGCGGGAAGATATACGGAAAAATTCGATGACGAGGAACCCACTTTGAGACTAATAATGGCTGGAGACGGCTTGAATGGGTAATGAAGAAAAACTTTAATATAACAGCAAATGTACAACGTTTCGACAAGGTTTTGTCATCATCAACGTTGTACATTTGCTGTTATATTAAAGTTTTTCTTCATTACCCATTCAAGCCGTCTCCAGCCATTATCTATTGTATATGGTGAAAGTAATGTCTTTTGATCCATTTTTAGCAACAGCA